TGGTCTGTACACAACTAAGCATTTGTGTTTCTTATTCCCTTTTTTACTGTGTGAAGAGATTGCCCTATATGGCAAAAGATGGCGTGCAGGGTTGCTCTTGAGACGACGGGAGGGAGGAGGTGAGCAATGAAAGCTTCGTTTCGAGCCAGGTAGGAGTAGGTAGGCAACAGAAGCTTTTGTGGTGAGCAGTGGAGGCAGGGCTTTTGGAACAGAAGGAGAAATTAACCCTTTTGCAGAGCACGCAGAAGAAGTTGAGGCTGCTTTATACAGAAATAGGTGGGGTAGGATAGGTAGGATTTCCCCTGTATTGTAATTCAGGGAACTTTGCGGTTTGGTCTGGGGGCTTTCTGATTCAAATCACAGTCCCTCGGCTCCCCGCGCTGCAGGGGCTACCCAAAGAAGCCCTTTCTTTGCCTCGGTATGCTGTGTAGACCTTTACTCAAGCCCCAATCCTGACTTTGGGTCTGAGACATTTATTTATTAGATTTATATCTTTTTTCTTACAAAGAACTCTGAGCAGCCTATATCATTCTCCTCCTGCTGCCCTCAGTCTTATCCCCACAACAACAACCCTGTGAGGCAGGTTGGGCCGAGAGTCTGTGACTGACCCAAAGTCATCCAGTTGGGGACCAGTACCCAGATCGCCTGAGTCCCAGGCATGTACTCTTCACCACAGTGGCTCTTCTTGTGACTTCTTTGCATCTCAATATTAAAAGTAGCTTGCAAACCAAAATATTCCAGCCAGCCCTGAAATCTTAAGCATTCTGAGATAGCTGTGCAGCTCTGTCCTTTGTTGCTGTATCAAAAACACACACAAAGGCCAGCCTCAGTTAAAACTGAGATTGTAATGTCTTCTCGAGGTGTGGGAGAAAATGCACACATCAGTAATGTTTTTCCTACATTAGAACATCCCCTGGTCTCTGTTTTGTATGTCTTGGAAAGATGATGAGCGAGAGCACTTTGTTTACAGGGTGGTACAGAAACAAACGGATAAATAAATCAATGCACTCGTAAAATCTTTGTTCTCCTTTTTTATTTGGGAGTTCCTGTAAATAGAACATACCCCTTTTTTCGTTAAGTTCTCGTCTGGTGCCAATTTCATTTAACTGTTCAGTGGTAATTATTTTTGCGCAGTGGGTGTAGCTGGAGGAGGCTTAGTCTTTGGTGGTTTTGAATTATCCCATTCGTATCTGATTAGTGTTATTTATTCTGGCTTGGGAAGACTCTGAGCTGCTGCAAGGTTCAGACGTTGCAGAGACTCAGTTATTAGCAATAACTGTGCTTCCAGTATCACATGACTTGCATGACTAACGATGCAACTCTGCTTTCTGCATGGCTGAAGGCAAAACAGCCTGCATAAATTTATCTGAAAGTGGGAGGCTGCAGTTATATTTGGCTATATAAACCGAACTGGAGAACCTAATTTGCTTGAATAGTCACAGACTGGGCACAGGGTATATGTTGAGCTGTTGCATTTTCTAGCTTCTTTGCTAAGATGCAAGCATAAACAGTCTGTTGCAATTATCTGTGCCAGTTGTCCAGGTGATGGTCCCATCATAACGTGCATAGAGCGTCTTTTTCAATGTTTGTGGCATCCCTCTAAATCCCAGGATTTTGCCCTGTTTGTGTCCTTTGAGCTGGGCTAAGACTGACGACTGCGAAAGAGCTTACCCTCCCTGATTGCGTCTCTTTCCCAGAATGAGGCCCAACTGTGTCTGCAATTCAACATGACTGTTCCAGTATCCTAAAACATGATGATTGCTAGGCCTGGTAGCTGCTGGCCCAGACGAAGGAACGTATAATTTACATTTCTTCTGCCTGTTTGACAAATATAGCCCCTCAAATCCTGTGCGGCTTTAAGTGACCAGCCGGCCCAATCAAAAGCTGTTGTGTCATGTCCAAACTCTGTGAGATCCACAGTAATCTCGCAGTATCCTTGGCATTCTGTGAAGTTCGGTTTACCTAATCCTTTTGGATTGTAGGGCGGTGGAAGCCAGCCCAGAAAGCTCCCTGATTCATGTCAACACTTATCGTATCCCAAAGCACTTAGCTATGCTAAAGAGGGTTGGCTCCCATCTTCCTTGGCTCCACAGCTGTTGACGGATTACTTCATCCTCTTAGCACCTTGATGCTTGTGGCCACAGTGTCCTTTGATGGTACACAAGGGCACCCGCTGTTACTGTTCTGGGCCGCCAGGCGGCAGCATAAGCTGTACAATGAAGTCAGCCATGTCTGAACATGCACTTTTCAAAAAGGGGGGCAGAACAACAAAGGTGGCCGCATTGCCGGTGACGAGAATGCTGGAAACCCCACTAGTGCAGTCGCTCCGTTAGACCCACGACAAGATGGGACCCCCCCAGATGTGCAGGCTTTCGGGATCAATTCGTCGGACAAGAAGTTGGGAAACCAGGTTCGGTTGCTAGGGTAGTGATGTTGAAGCAAGGAGGAACGGGGAAGGCGAACCCGACACTTGATAGTGAAGTCACTGAGCCTGCACGATAAAGCGGAAGTTGAAATGTCTGGTCCTTCCTCAACCCATCGCACGGCCTTCAAAGCCTCATCTGAGCGTTGTATACTCCTCGTATACTTCTGCTTCATCTTGAGAATCTGAAGACGCAGACACTGAGACCTTCTTCAAGTCACATTTCCCCTCTCCTTCTGTCCCAAGTTCCCACCCAAAGCTGGTTTTTGTAATGTCTTGCCAGATGAAGGTACCTGCAGATAAAGCCTGTTTTTGTTGTTGTTGTTGTTTTTTGTGATATAGCAAGGTGCAGTCCTGTGCATGTTTAGATAGGAGAAAAGGACCGGCGTCTCCAAGCGTCCTCCATTCAGAATGAAACCCTTAAATCACAAGGCCCCAGTGACCTTTCTAAGATTTAACAAGAGCTAGTTTCCTTCATGAGGGAATGAAGCCTGCTTGGGAAGTTGGTGAAGGATTCAGAACATGCTGTGCTCCTTTTAATGCTGTGTGTCTTTCCAGATTCCTAAGCCTTTATTTCAGATGTGTTGACTACAACCCCCATGATTCCCCAGCCAGCACAGCTGCTTATAGGAATATGGGAGGGGCCGCTGAACATACCTGGGGGATGCCAGCTAGGGGAAGTCTGTGTGGGTTCTTAGGGACAGTGATTTCAGGAGTGCGGGAAGCCGCTGTATACTGAGTCAGGCCCTGGTCCATCTAGCCCAGTGTTGTCAGCACCGACTTGCAGCAGTGGCTGTCTGTGGATTCAGGAATGAGCTCTTCCAGGCCACGCTCCTTTCGCTGTGTGGTGCAGCGTAGCCAGGCCCGGTTCAAGACATGGTGGTGCCCGAATTGGAAAAGAAAAATTGCGGATCCCCACTGGAATCGAGCCCCTGTGGTGCCTGCTGCAGTTCTCCTTCATCTCACTGGGGGCTTTCGTGGGAGATTTTCCCAGGAGATCAGGGCTCCATGTGAGTTCACATGTGTGAGAGTTTCCTCTCTGGCACCAGTATGCTTCAAGCTGGTCTTGTGGACAGAATACTCCTCTTCCTCGAAATACTGATTTCGATTCCCAATCCCCATCCACACCCTGATGCTGGATTCATCTCAAACAGTGCCAGCACCAGTCCTTTGATTTTGACGAACAAGAATCGTTGCTCAGGTACCAAGCTTTCTGGGTAACGATAAACATGAACGGGCACATGGGGAGCTTATTCTGAGCACCGTGTCATCTCGAAGTTTCCTGTCTTCTACAACCGTATAAGGAAGTTTTGTGGCTGAAGTTTGCACATTGGCCAGGAAATTAGCATCTCACTTCCGTGTGGGTTTGCTAATTTAAGGTTGTCTTCTCCTCTGTTGCTAGGAGCATATTCTTTGTCCCCTCTAGAACAGCATACAGTCATCCGCAATATACAATCTACCACCAAACACTTGCGGATCTTGCGGGGCGGGGGGTGCTTAACTTTTATGTGGCTGGCGAGCTGTGATACCCGTGTCCCCTGTGTGGCACCGGGAGAAATGTATGGTGGAGCTCTTGGAAGATGGGGCCTCATGGGCTGAGCTGGAGCAGGAGAAGCTCCCCCCGCAGCACTCACACTTCCGTCTGCCTCATCCCTCTTGCTCAGGCTTGAGTGGCTGCAAGCAAAGAGCGTTGCTGAGGCGTATGTAGTGGGAGAGCACCATGCAGAGACGGGGCACCCAAATTTAGGGTGTGTGTGTGTGTGAATGATTCAAAGGCAGGAGGCATCTGTGATATCGAAGGCACCCCCTGAGTTAGGAGGCTCGGGTGGAACAGGCATTATTCCCAGAAAACTCCCCCACCTCCTCAGGACCACTGCCCAGATGTCATGTTCAGAGGCTATCCCTCAAGCACCTGATTCCTTTTCTGTGCAATTCTTCACCTGACATGGAAACTGAATGTCTTTCTGCAAACCAAGGAAAAGTCCCTCTCCTCTCCTCTCCTCTCCTCTCCTCTCCTCTCCTCTCCTCTCCTCTCC